GACAATGCTGCCCCCTGTAGGAGAGGGACGATGGACTGAACCTGGGGTACTCTGGAGCTTACTTCCCATAACACCCCTGAGCACAGAAACTCCCACTCACCCACAGTCACCTCGCCATCCTGGGGCCGTGCCAGAAAAAGGCCGATAGGGTCATCGGGGGCTCCCTGACTCCCTGGGGCTGACCCTGAGAAAAAAGACTTTTGAGACCTGTCCTGGGACACTGTCCTCCCATTGGCTTGTCCCACATCGCCCAGCCCCTTCACCTTCAGGACTTGGAACGTTTTCTTCCAACTCAGTGACTGGAGCTGGGACTTCTCTGGGGGCTCCAGGGGCCTCCTCAGGGGTGGGAGCAACTGCAGGCTCTGTCTTCTCGCATGACACAGTTTCTAACCAGAGACACCACACACACCCTCTCAGACTTCAGACCTGGGTCCGCCTGTACCTAAGATGCATCTCATGTGCGCAGTCACAGTCACCTTCAGCCACTGGGCTCGTGCCAAGGAGAGGCGCTGGCCTGCATCTCCTGTTCTCGCCCTCACAGCCCACCTGTTCCATGTCCAGGATTTCTGCTCTGAACAGCTCCGAGGTCCATCTGCTGTCCTCTTCCAGGCTCTGGCCTTGACCCAACCCCCACCCCCAAGCCCTTAGGATTCCTTAGAGTCCTTATCTAGGTGTGACCTCACTGTGGGTCTGTGTAGGAGAGGGCTTAGGTCACCTTTATGTTTCCCCACCTCCACAATTCAGAAAAGGCTGCAGCCACCTCTAATGTGGAGCGAGATCTTGGTGCAGAAGTGGGAATGGGCATTTTTGACTTATAGCATCACCAGGGCAAAGACGAGCACCCAACGTCCATTCCCTGCTCAGGGCTACAACTGAAGCTCAGGCCTTGGGAAGAAGGTCAGCAAGCCCTTACCTGCCTCTGTGACCTTGAGGTCAAATTTGACCTTCGAGGAGCCTGCGATGACCGCGTAGGAACCCTGGTCTGCAGGGCACACATCTCGTACTGTCAGTGTGTGCCGCTTGCCCTCTGTCGCCAAACCGTACTTGTCACCGGCACCGATGTCACTGCCTTCCCGCTGCCACCGCACTTTCACGCCTGCGCGCTCTGTCTCAGCCTCGAACACGGCAGCGCTGCCTGTTGTCACCTCCACCGACCGTGGCTTCTTGTTGAAGGCTGACACTGAAGAGCCAGATGGAAACTGCGGGACTGGGCTCCCTGGTGCCCCATCCCTGCACCCTGCGGGGACCGGGCTCCCTGGTGCCCACCCCTGCCACCCTGC